ATGCTCAAGGATATGGTGTATGACATTTCAGTTATCTGCAATCTGCTACCATTTGTTCCTTTCTTAACAGACAAAGCAATATCCAGAAATCTTGACCACTATGTACTGCACAGAAGGTCACTTAATAACATCATTGGGAACACGTTAAACAATGCAAATGGCGTGCAAAGTATGTTTGCTGGTCCATTACCTTAAGTGCAAATGCTACAATGACATTGTTTTACTCGAAAATGGAAAACAAATAGTAGGCCAGACAATTGTCTAGTTTTGAAAGTAGGTTTGTTCCTTATAAAATCCTTTAACTACTTTCTATTTTTAAAACAAAGCAGGTTTGTTTGTCTAAAATTTTGGGAATAGCAGATTATATTTTCATGCATAGGAGAGTTACAGAATGAAGTTAATTCTAGTCAAATCATTTCTGCAGTATCTTGCATGTTGGACAGAGTCTGTATCATTAGCAAACTAATCTTATTAACTAATATAGCACTTTCATGACAAATGAACCCTATAGTTCAATGTTTGGGACAGGTATAGTGCCTGAAGTAAGAGGCCTTTTTCACATGCTTACAATGAAAATACATGTCAAAACATGTATGGCTGGACAGACCAGTGAGAAACAATTTCACAATTCTAGATAGTTTGATAAGTCTTCTCTAAAAACCCATTGTTACAGAACAGTTGTGAAGTATTTTTCAGGGATCACAAGTCCTTTTTTCTTCTATGAAGGGGATAGGATGGAAGATAATGAAGCAGTTTGGAACATGTATAAAAGAATATCCTTCCAAGTTAAAAAGGCAGCGCAGGAAGAAAATGATTTTCAGATAATTAGCTGATGGACAGTAGCTAGCATTCATAGACTAAAGCTGAAAAACAAGACTGTAAATTTACAGTTAGAGACTGAGCCAGTAGAAAATTTCCTATATCAAGTAAGTATAATTTAGGTTTTGGGAAGGACCCAAAATGAACATAAGTAAAATTAGGAGAAGATATATATATGTTTTCCCCCATTTTATTTCCTTATCAGGAATTGCTTTACTGTGGTTAATTTAATTTCTGCTGAGCTGTTTTTGGGAGCACGTGTGTAAGGCTATGCATTCTCCTCACAGTGAGTATTTATGACAACTTAGGAAAAAAAATCATGCTTGGCAGTACCCCAAGGAACGTTAGTGTTGAGATACAGCTGTATTTCTATTTCTGACTCAACTGGAAACTGAGATACTCAGCAATACAGATGCTAGAGGCTTCCTATATCATTTTTGTTTTAAGCAATGACACTTTCTACCAAAAATAATTTTTAAAATGAATAACATGCCAAGTTAAAATTTGTGTGAAACACCTTTATTCACAAATATTCAACAGAATTTCATATTGTGCTTCATGCAAACAAATAACCCAGTACTGCACTTCTGAAATGGTGAATACTACACAGAGCAATTGTATAAAGAAGTGCAAGGAAAAATCCCTCATTCTAAAATGCAGTGTTAGTCTACTATTCACCCAGAGTCAAGCAGTCTTATAGCTAGAGTTTGTATGATATACTGGTGTTCATACTTCAGAACTTCAGAAGCAGCAATGAAGTTTGTAACTACCATATGTTGTCTAAATTTTCTGGAAGAATTAACCAAAAAAAAAAAAAGGTAAGAAAGCCTTTTGTATGTGCATGTATCATCTGTGTATCTGCCTACTGCTTCCAAAAACAGCAAACTTCTGCTATTTCCATTTTAAATCAGATATATATTTTTTTAATTAATAAATTCCTGCCTGTTTACTGGTAAACAACTAGTAAAAACTAATTGCTGAAAAAAGGCTGTTTTCAATGATTAGGTATCACTTAAAGTTAGTGTTAAGAATTGGATTTCATAGAATTACGCCTTTTGTTTTTCAGTTTAAAACCTAGCAATGCATTACAGAATATAGTCCTCAGATGTGCTCATTACAGTAGCAAAAGAATTTTCAGTGCATTATAAGATCCCCCTTGGGATGTTTCTTTTTAATTTCCTTTGACTTGCTTATTTTATCTTTGCAAGCAGTTTCAACAAGGTGACATTTTCTAGACTAGTCAGTTGCTGAGGCATTCACCTGGAACAGGAGACAAGTGATGTTAAGCACCTGCTTTGAATCAGTCATGAGAATGATGTGAGCCAGATTCCACAGCTTCCTTAATGACGTTCAAAGGCATAAAGCACCAACTCCACTATAGCAATCCAGCAATCTTTAGCTTGCTTGTGTTTTTGATTTTTAAAATGAAGAAAAGGCCAGCCAATAAATTCTGCTGCAGGAAGGGTAGTGGAAACAGAAAGGTTGAAAGACACCTGGGGAGAAGGGGATAAGATCTGCTTTAGTGCTCGTAGTGCTCTGTGGAGGTAAAGGGTAGTGCTGGAAGCCATTTTCTTCCTTCACACCCTTTAGTGGAAACTACTTTCTGGTATCTCATAGACAACAGCAGATCTTACTTTCTGGGGATTTACTACAAGCAAAGTTGGCTGCAGCCTATCTTGCTTATGCCTTTAAGTTAGACCTTAATCTCTGAGAATAAATGTAAATGGGAATGGATTCTACAGTGGAAACATATTTTAAATGCAATTAATTTGTTATAAAGACTTGTTTTTTTTTTTTTTTTTTTTTTTAGCAGACTTGTCAACATAAATGACTGAAATATAAATGGACCATAACAAGAATTTAGTTTAAAGAGTTAAAAGAGCCATTTCTCATTGATATTCTTATATTACAAAGGCTTTCTTTGGTAGCTTCAAGTTTTATAGCTTTTGCTTCATGCTTCTTTTACAAATATATGTATACAGAAATACAAACATATATGTGTGTAGGTATGCTTATTTATGTTTCTTTCAAAGCTGTCAGAAATATATATATATTTTATGGTTGGTCAGTAAAGATGTTTTTGGATCTACTTTCCCAGTCAGAAGCTATTTACTGAATTTGTAAATGTATAATAAGCTCCTGTTGTTCTTTAGACAGTATTTATTAGGCTCACGCAGAGCAAGGTGCTGACTCTCACTGGTACCCTTGAGGCTGAAGATAACAGCTTCAGGATTTCCTGCGGTATCAGTTAGTGCAGAGAGAAATGGGATTTTGATTTTATAAATGCCTGAGTCAAGTCTGCAGTAAAATGTTGCATAACACTTTGTGATATCTATTCATTGTTTCCTGGAAAATTAACCTTTGTTTCTTGCTTCCAAAATGCTAAGTTTCTATGTCATTTATTATGTCTGTGGTCACATTATTTATTTAAATAATCTTGACTAAAAATGTTCATATTGCTCCAAATTTAACTTGGAGAAATTCCATCTGTGACATTTAATTCCTTTGCTGATAGGCAATTTATTGTCTAACTTTTCTAAGGTATATGAATATAGATAAATTTTAGTCCTTAACCTGCAGTGCCGAAGTGCTAGTGTTAGTTCACAGCCAGTGAATGAGCAAATACGTTACTATTACTTTTTATCTCTTTGTTTATAAATATCATTATCAAAAATTAGGTATCAAAATCTGCTGTTTTCAAACTGTTTTCTCACTCATCTTTGATAAAGCCATGATAATGAATGCATTAGGTTTGCACTTCTCAAATAGCTTGAAATCTAACACTTCTGAAGATAGATTCTTTAGGAGTCATCATTGTTTAAGTAATTCTTCCCATAGTGTGTTCTTCAACGCCTCCACTATTTTTTATTTCCAACCTGTTCTCTTCTAAAATAAAGCTATTTTAAGATACTGCTTTCAGAAACCTCTTAGGTACTCAGTAACACGACTGCCAACGAAAGTGCAAAAGATGCATGATCTCATTTTAAATCAATCCTTGAACTGTGTGGTTCCTTTTGAGAATGTTTTCAATTGCTATACAGCACTGTGATCAGCAGAGGTCAATATCAAAACTACGTTGGTTTCATCTGAGTCTTTCTTAGAAATTTCAAGAACCATTGATCACAGCCTTTTCTTTTGTTATATAAGACTTTACATAAAATACATGCTATCATGAGTATAGATACACTATACCTTCTAGACGAATTAGCCAGAAAGCTTAGCTCCCTTCACAAATTAAAACATTAAAATGTAGGTTGTTAGTCCTAGCAGCTGTTTCAGATCAAAGCTGGAAGAATATTATGACTAGATTACATCACTACACTCTCTGAATTAACAAAATGTGTGCCCTCCATTTTCACCTGCTGCTCATACTATTTACTCCTGAGACTGTGAGCAGTAGAAGTAGAAACGTATATGTGCTGAGGACGTGGTCTAGAGTGATCACAAGTATGGGTTGACAGTTGGATTAAGTGATCTTAGAGGTATTTGTGATTCTAGGAGTAGAAATGGAAATCTTTGTTTACATCTGAAGAGGTGAAGGCTGAGCCACAACCTGATTCTTCTCTCCCATCCTAATAATGTTCTCGTTAGCTGCAGTGAATGTGTTTGATCTTGCATATATGCTTTCAGTTCATATAAAAGGAACTTAGAAGTGTCTCTGGTGGGCTGTTATGGTTCCCTGTTCCTAAGACGATGACCAAATTTGTTTGTAATTAATGGCTCTTTTCATTGTGAATTTTGTGCTCAGTCTGTAGAATGAATAAATGGAAGGAAACCAGTGCAGAAGGGTATTATTTTCCTTCTTCTTTCCTTCTTTTCAGAAGCTTAGTGAAAACACCATTTTTCATATAACAAATTCATCAAAAGTGTTTCAGGAGATCTGTTAGAAGGTTTTAACAGGGACATGGTGAATTTTCAGTGTATCTACAAAATTAGAACTACAGCTCTAGATTTAAATGCAGTGTGTGTACGTGTTTTCCTTTAGGTGATTTCAGTTTACATATCCTTTTCAGTAAAAAGGAATCATTTTGGTGCATTAAGTTGCTAAAAGAGAACTGTATTTAACGTTTCTACAAAGCCAGTATTATGATTAATTACTACACAGTTGTTTAAATAATAAGCTAATGTTTTCTTTTTTTTCCTTTTTGGTACTCTAGGGAGCAGCTGTGGAAAGAGAGAAGATGAAAGTTCCTATTCCAAACTTGATTCTCTTGTATGCTACTCTAACTCAGAGCTTGAAGGTTGTGACCAAAAGAGGATCAGGTAAGTAAATCTTTCTCTGCTCTTACAATACGTTTTGAAAGAAGAAATCCTTAAAATTTATAAATATATTTTATGATGTTGTTATAGTTGTTTGAAGAATAATTAGAAGGAATTAGAATTCTGCAGCAAACCAATTTAGTAACTTCTGTATTATTTTAGACTCTATTCTATGGTGTGAACTTGATGGAAAATCAAAATGACAGTTCATCTGCTAAAGGAGAATATCTTTTTTTTTTTCCTCCACTGTATCCCCAAAATTGTTTAGCTTACTTAAAGACTTGATAGCAGTCACTGAGCTACTGTACTTCAATGTGAACAGTTTATCTGTTTGACTATCTTCTTTATGGTGAGGAATCTCTTGGATTTGCATGTAGCTTTGGCTTAGACCGTTTTTTATAATAATAAAAAATCAGGCACATTAAATTTAATAAATTTAATAACGATGAAAAGTGAATAAGAAAATGCATTTTTGAAGGGACTATCACATATGTTGTGAAAGATTTGTGCAGCAAGGAAAATATAGGTGGCTTTTCAGGAATCCAGCAGACGGTGATATATTTGCCCATCATCTTTCATGTGTTACTGTTTGTATGTTTAAAAGAAAAAAGAAAAAGAACTTTGATACTGAGACAATGGTTTTTTCATCCCGAGATTCTAACTTCCCCTTCTATTCCTTTTCATTGGATAATGGGAAAATTGCAGGATAATATTTCTGCAAACTCTTACATTGATCTGCGGATGTAAGGAAACTAAATCCTTGATGGAGGATTTGATCCCGTGTTGATAGGATTAATTATTTTTGTTGTAACTAGTTAATTTTCTTTTGTCATTTGATTGCTCTGGGTGGCTTTTGTTGTACTGTTCTAGAAGTCTGGACTTGATTTGTTTATTTATTTATTTTCTTTTCGTTTTGTCTGTTTCCAGCTGGAGTTGGCTGCTAGCAATGCTTGTGGTAGTAAAGAGATGCTTAGGGAGATCTTTGCACATTTTGGGCAACAGTTTAAATAACATTTGTACTTTTAATAGATCCTACTCGGAACATATGAAACTAGTTCTGTCTTCAATGTTTTAATGACCGTGGGAAAGAAAATAAAGAGTATCACTCTAATATCTTAAAATATTTCTCAGTCAGGACTTGAGACTGTGATATATTTAAGCTCAGGAAAACTGGATTCTGTTCACTATGTGCAGAACAAAGGAGTAGTTGATGAGATGATGTATTTGCAACATGACGTCTGCCTAGACAGAAATCATTTGAACTTGTCTGGGTGAGGTTGTTCTTTTTGATCACAGTTGAGTGTTTGTGAGCTTTTAGTTGAGGTCCCTTAATCCAAATGTAGTATAAACAGTATCAATCCTCTTGAAGTAATTTTTACCATGACAAACATTTTAAAAGGAAACAAAAAAGCAGCCAGTTATAAAATAATTCCCACTTCAATGTGACAATAATAAGAAGTCAAGTTTTCTTTGCCTTTTACTTCATTGTTCATGCTTGTATCATCTTTCTGAGATTAACCAATTGAAGGAAAAGTGTTAAATATTCATGTTAATTTCTATTTGGGAAAGTTATGTAATTGATGTCCAGGCAAAGAAAAAAAGGCTTTTGCAGCTGTACTGAGTATTTTCTCATCCTGTGCAGCAAAAAAGGAAAAGCTTTAATGGAAGTCTTTAAATCTTACTACAACATGGGTCTTTTTTTATGGTTTTGCATGAAATCTGCTTTTATAGTATTTAGTTTATCAGCTACATTGCAGAGAAGACTGTTTTGTCATAGTGTATGGTGCAAAAGAAGAAGCCGAGTTCTACTGAAATTTCAGCTTTTACTGTCTTTCTTCATGCCATTTAGTGACTTCACATGTGGTGAACTTCTATAAAAGTAGGTGGAATGTAATGAGTAGATGATAATGCTTAGCTTAATTTTTCTTTTTTCTTTTTTTAAATTTTTTTCCTTGGCTGATTTGGGAGGAATATTTTTCAATCCTGAATTGTTTCTATGAAGAAAATGTGGTTTTTTTTTTTTTTTTTTGTTTTGTTTTGTTTTGTTTTTTGTTTTGTTTTGTTTTTGTTTTTTGTTTTTTAAAGGAAGTTTTAGAAAATAAGATTCATTTATGTATACAGTGAAAATATTGCTTCTTCTTCCTGAAGCTAATTAATTTGTAGTTATAAGCAAGTTATCTATAGTTATAGATACTTACATGTAAGGAAAAAGAAGTGTAATTTTATGTAAGCACGTTAATCAGAGGCAGCAAATGGTGAGGTTTGTGTATGTTTAGTTGTGTGCATTGCATTCTGACACCTGGATCAAAAGTTTGGCTGTGGCTTACTTTGCATTCATTACTGTGTCTCTAGGAATCTCGTTGTATATGCCTGAAGTGTGATTTTATTTCAGAGTTGAATGCAACTGTCCTTCTCCTATTTCTTTCATAAAGATTGAATATCAGAGCAACATAGAAAACTGTATTATACAACTACTTTAATATAGGCAATTTTTGAATGAAAACAAGAGAACAGAACTGAACCTTTCATTTGCAATTTATTGTGTCTCAATTTTGGACGTGTAATGAATCAAGACTAAATTAAAATTGAAGCGTGTTGTAAATGTTATTTTTAATTGAAGAAGTAGAAGCTTCAAAATAAAATCTTTTACATGCCTTTTTAGAAGAATGTTTTTTTCATAATAACTGAATATTTGCTCTTAATGGTGTCCTGCCAACCTCTTCTACCCTTTTCTATGATAGTATATTTTCATATTGATGTAAATATCTCCATATTAGTAGCCTTTTTTTTTTTTTTTTTTTTTTTTTTACAGATACATTGCTTTTTGCTGTTATGAATCAAAGCAATTTATTAGGAGTTAAGGAGTTGTTGCATTAGTATTCTCAGCTAATTTTAAATTAGCTGGCTCATAGCTGTGTGACGTACTTGTGTAACACTTCAACTTTGTATTTGATTTTGTTTCTACCTAGTATTTTAAAAAATTCCAGAAAATATATTTCTGTAAGGCAGTGAATGATTTCAAATGGCTCTAACATAAAAAGGATTTATTTTTACATCTTGAGTACTTAGTAACTGTGCTATTACATAAAAATGTCTGTGCAAGCAGTTTGAGAAACAATTTCATTAATATGTAAAAATTATGCAATGAACATATTCCTGTATATTCAAGTGTGCCAGTAAATAAGACTTAAACCCCTAAACTTTTCCTGTCAATTTTATTTGAATGCACAACTCCTGTAAGTTTTAATGCCTTGTCAGACAAGGAAGAGAAAACCCTTCGTCTTAAGCTTTGCCATTCCAAACACTAGGCTAAATAAAATATTAGAACATACCATTCCATCTTTTTTTTTTTATTATTTTTATTATTATTATTTTTTTTTACCAAGGTTGCTGAACAGAGAGGAGTTTTTTGGTGTTAAATAATTTTCAAAATGGGTGGGAGGAGTGGGGGAAAAAGTTTTTTTTTTTTTAATGCATAAGATATTATAACTTCATTGTATAATTAGACAATTAGAGTATTGACATTTTAGACACTAATAATAATTTGAAGTCATCTTGTATCAAAAGAAGTTGAGAATTCTTATTTTCTGTGTTCCACTGTTTTTCTACCGATTGCGTTGTGTGGAGTTCATGAAGGAGCTATGTTCTGTGCTCACCTGTGTGAAAGAAAATCTTCTCTTTGTCATATTTATTCTGTGAAAGAAATCAAATTTAACTGAGCGGACAATCTCTTGCATGATGGTTTATCAGGAGATGTACAGGATCCTTCACATCGTTATTGTGAGATTAAAGTCTGCAAATGTATTATTCATGTAGGAAAAAATGATTATCTTTCTAATGTATAGTATCTTTTTGTCTGAGTTACAAGTAATGAGTATGGGTGGTTGCAGTCATACTTATATAGAGCATTATGAACTTCACGAAAATGAGAAGTCAAATTTTGACATTGCAGCCCCTGTTGATGTTTCTCAATTTTAGTTTGCCTTGTAGGAGCCATTTTTAGTAGATAATTTTAAATAGATAAATGCAATTGAAGGTGCATTTTTGTTCTAGAACTAGCGAAATTCCAAGGAACAGAATGGAAATATATATTGAAAAAAATCAAGTAATTATTTTGCTTGGCTGATTTTGTACACTTTAACAACCTATAGTAGACATTTTACTAAATTATGGCCCTCTGAATTTTTACAAATGATTTCTTATTTACATCTATTTTAGACCGTAATATTAGTTATATTGTGAATATCTCTGTACAAATGAGGCACTTGCTTTCTTTCTCTAAAACATTTCCTTTAGTTGGAACAGAACAAATGATTTTAGCGTAGTTGTCCTTAGCATCAAGAAAGCCAAGATTTTTTTTACCTTGTGACAAATACCATAATGTGTATTCAACAACTTATAATAAGTAATATATGAATGCATAAAATAAAAATTCTTCACCTTAGCTATATATAATGAATTTATCTATGACATGCAATACAGCTTTGAGAATGCTCTGAAAGGGAAAATATGTGTTACATTTCTACCTAGCAACTGAATTGTCTCCATTATACAATAAAGCTGGTTATAACAATTAAAAAAAAAAAAATCTATAATCCAGGTTATCTGGATTTTCTTTTTCTTGAGAAATTGTATGCAGTTAAATACTGAGCCAGAACAAGAATCTGATACCCATTATTTGAGTATCTGTATATCTTATGTATTTTTTTTTTATGAGACTTGGTAACCCAACTGCGTATTACTATATAACTACCACTCTATTCTTCTGAGCATCTTTCCATCACTGGTGTCATTCTCTTTTTCATTCTGGCTGTGCTTGTTTGCCTAAGCATTTTCTTTTGTCAAAAGGAAATTAGTTGATGAATGTCATATTGGATCTGATATTCACTGAACAGTAATCAGATGGTTCAAAAATTAAATGAGGAGGCATCTTCCTTGCTTTTTTTTCTGTACAATTTATAGACTCATGCATGGTACTCCCTGCACACTGAATTTGGAGCAAA